AGAAGAAGTTACAAAACAAAAATGAAAAAGCAGGTGTCAAACCATGGGCTTCAAAATTTTGCATTATTGTCCTCCAGAGTTCTCTGAGCATTATCACTATCTTTCACTGAAGTTTCTCCTTCTCTATGACTTCAGAACATTGATGTCACTTCATGTATTAATCACACTTTAATAATAACTAATGTTTGGGCAATCCCTATCAATATAGCACCAGCATTCTTTTTTTAAAATTTTGTTAATGTTTTTATTTATTTTTGAGAGAGAGAGACAGACACAGAGCATGAGTGGGAAAGGGGCAGGCAGAGAGAGAGGGAGACACAGAATTTGAAGCAGTTTCCAGGCTCCAAGCTGTCAGCACAGAGCCTGACGTGGGTCTCAACCTAGTGAACCATGAGATCGTGACCTGAGCGGAAGTCAGACGTTTAACCAACTGAGCTACCTATGCCCCCCCAACACCAGCATTCTTCACAGGGCTAGAGCAAGCAATCCTAAAATTTGTATGGAACCAGGAAAGAGCCGGAATAGCCAAAGCAATCCTGAAAAAGAAAACCAAAGCTGGAGGCATCACAATTCGGGACTTCAAGCTGTACTACAAAGCTGTAATCATCAAGACAGTATGGTACTGGCACAAAACCTGACACACAGATCAATGGAACAGAATAGAGAATCCAGAAATGGACCCACAAATGTATGGCCAACTAATCTTTGACAAAGCAGGAAAGAATATCCAATGGAAAAAAGACGGTCTCTTCAGCCAATGGTGTTGGGAAAACTGGACAACAACATGCTTGAAAAATGAAAATGAAAATGAAAAATGAAAATGCATGAAAAATGAACCCGGACCACTTTCTTACACCATATACAAAAATAAACTCAAAATGAATGAAAGACCTATACATAAGACAGAAAGCCATCAAAATCCTAAAGAAAACAAGCAACAACCTCTTTGACCTTGGCCACAGCAACTTCTTACTTGACATGTCTCTGGAAGCAAGGGAAACAAAAAGCAACAATGAACTACCAGGGCCTCATCAAGATAAAAATCTTCTGCAGAGGGAAGGAAACAATCAGCAAAACTAAAAGGCAACCAATGACAGAATGGGAGAAGATACTTGCAATGACATATCAGATAGAGTTAGTATACAAAATCTATAAAGAACTTACCAAACTCAGCACCCAAAAAACAAACAATCCAGTGAAGAATGGGCAGAAGACATGAATAGACATTTTTCCCAAGAAGACATCCAGATGGCTAACAGACACACGAAAAGATGCTCAACATCATTCATTATCAGAGAAATACAAATCAAAACCACAATGTGATACCACCTCCCACCTGTCAGAGTAGCTAACATTAACAACTCATGCGATAACGGATGTTGGCTAGGATACAGAAAAAGAGGAACCCTTTTGCACTGCTGGTGGGAATGCAAACTGGTGCAGCCACTCTGGAAAACAGTATGGAGGTTCCTCAAAAAATTAAAAATAGAACTACCCTATGACCCAGCAACTGCACTACTAGGCATTTATCCAAGTGATACAGGTGTGCTGTTTTGAAGGGACACATGCACCCCCATGTTTATAGCAGCACTATCAACCATAGCCAAAGTATGGAAAGAGCCCAAATGTCCATCAACTGATGAATGGATAAAGAAGATGTGGTGTATACATACACACATACACACACACACACACACACACAATGGAATATTACTCGATCAAAAAGAATGAAATCTTGCCATTTGAAGCAATGTGGATGGAAACTAGAGTGTATTATGCTAAGCAAAATCAGTCAGAGAAAAAGTATCATATGACTTCACTCATATGTGGAATTTAAGATACAAAACAGATGAACATAAGGGAAGCAAAATTAATATAAAAACAGGGAGAAGGACAAACCATAAGAGACTGTTACATACAGAAAACAAACTGAGGGTTGCTGGAGGTGTTTGGGTGGGGGGGATGGGCTAACTAGGCAAGGGACATTAAGGAGGACACTTGTTGGGATAACATTGGGTGTTATATATAAGTGATAGATCACTAAATTCTACTCCTGAAATGATTATACTATATGTTAACTTAGATGTAAATTCAAAAAAATAAATTACAGATAAATAAATAAAAATGATATTCCTAAGAAAAACAAGAACTACTCTTTGGGGTGCGTGGCTGGCTCAGTCGGTTAAGTGTCCAAGTCTTGATTTCAGCTCAGGTTATGATCTCATGGCTTGTGGAATGGAGCCCTGTGTCGGGCTGTGTTGAATCCCAAGCAGATTCTCTCTCTGCTCCTCCCCCACTCGCTTGCGCTCTCTCTCAAAATAACTAAACAAACATTTAAAAATAATAACTAACATTTGCTGAATGTTTATTATGTTCCAAGCACTGTTCTAAGCCCTTTGTATTAACTCATTTCATGCTCATAATAATCCCATGAGGCAGGTACTTTCATCATCAACAATTTTCTCATCATCAACTTAAAGGTGAAACAGAGGGGGCACCTGGGTGGTTCAGTCGGTTGAGTGTCCAACTTCAGCTCAGGTCATGATCTCACAGTTTATGGGTTTGAGCCCCACATTGGGCTTTGTGCTGACAGTGGGAAGCATGCTTTGGATCCTCTGTCCCCTTCTCTGTCTGCCCCTCCCCTGCTCTCACTTTCTCTCAAAAATAAATAAAAAACAAAAAAAGATGAGACACAGAGAAAACGACTGTACAAAATCAAACAGTCAACGAGTGGCAGAAGTGGAATTTAAACCCAGAAAATGTGGCTCGAGAGCCTGAACTCTTACCCTGTGCTATGCTGCTTCTCCAAAGATCTTTTTGTTTCCCCTATTAAAGTGTAAGTTCCCTGAGGCCTGACATGAAAACTGTTTTTGTTGCTAGTGTTGGGAGACAGGAGAGTGAAGAGGAAGAAAGCTTGACAGTCTCAGCATGTAGGACAATTCCTAGTACATAGTATTCATAAATATTTGTTGAGCTGAACTGACCCTGAATATTTAACTAAAATCTGGGTTGTTTTCCCTATAGGTCAGGGATCAGCACATTTTCGGTAAAGGGCCAGACAGTAAATACTTTAGGCTTTGTGGGTCATAAGGTCTCTGTCACAATTATTTGTATCTGCCCTGATGGCACAGCAGCCATACAGGGGCGCCTGGGTGGCTCAGTCGGTTAAGCAGCCAACTTCGGCTCAGGTCATGATCTCGCAGTCCGTGAGTTCGAGCCCCACGTCGGGCTCTGTGCTGACAGCTCAGAGCCTGGAGCCTACTTTGGATTCTGTGTCTCCCCATCTCTCGGCCCCTCCCCTGCTCACGCTCTGTCTCTCTCTGTCTCAAAAATAAATAAAGTAGGGGGCGCCTGGGTGGCTCGGTCGGCTAAGCGTTCGACATCGGCTCAGGTCACGATCTCACCGTGAGTTCGAGCCCCGCGTCGGGCTCTGTGCCGACCGCTCAGAGCCTGGAGCCTGTTTCAGATTCTGTGTCTCGCTCTCTCTGACCCTCCCCTGTTCATGCTCTGTCTCTCTCTGTCTCAAAAATAAATAAACGTCAAAAAAAATTTTTTTTTAAATAAACGTTAAAGAAAAATTTTTTTAAAAAGAAAAAAAAGCAGCCATACAATTCTTTTTTTTTTTTCATTTTTTAATGTTTATTCAAAAGAGAGAGAGAGCAAGCATGAGGGGAGAAGAGGCAGATAGACAGGGAGACATGTGAAGAATCCAAAGCAGGCTCCAGGCTCTGAGTTGTCAGCACAGAGCCCGACACGTGGCTCTAATCCATGAACTGTGAGATCATGACCTGAGCCCAAGTCAGACATTCAACCAACTATACCACCTAGGCGCCCGCAGACAATTCTTAAATGAGAATGGCTGTGTTCCAATAAAACTTTATTTACAAAAACAGGTAAGAAGGCCACCTGGCCCATGGGCTCTAGTCCGCTAACCCCTGCTACAGGTGATAAGAATATATCAAAGGTTTCTAAACAAGAGAAAAGGTTGACAGTGTGTTTTGTTTTGTTTTTTTAATATTCCTGAGAGACAGAGGCCACCCAGATGCCCCACAATGTCTTCGTTTTTAAAACCTCCCATTTCCACACTCTAGTTTTCACATACACTTTCATTTCCTCAGCATAGGCACCTTATGTCAGTTTCACAAATGAGGAAACAAGGTTGAGAAGAGTCAACTAATGGGTTGTGGAACAGAGACAAAACTGAAATGTCTTGACTTCTAATCAAATCTGGTAAGTCCTAACAGCACCACTTCCTTTGTCAAAGTTTTAATTTTGCATTTATCTGCGAGACTGGCTTTTATTTCCTCCCCGACTGGACTTCAAGCTCCAGGAAAACAAGGAATGTTCTTCCTGGCCACTACGGCCCCACTACGCAGCAAGGTGTTTTGCTAATAAGCAGTATTCGTTGAATGAATAAATGAAATTTATAATTTTCCCCTCCTGTTTTTCAGGCGACTAAATGTAACTTATTTTTAGTAACTAATGTGAAGAAAAGACAATACACCATAAAAACCTTTTTAAGCTGCAGCTTAAATTTTACTTCCCATGTGATTCAAAGGAGAGCGAAAAAAAGGGCTGGGAGCGAAGCCCTGAGTTCTAGAGCCGGCCGTGCCGTGAACTTGTTATGAGCCCTTGGGTAAATTGTGTAAATTACTTCGCTTCTCCGGACAAAATTAACTTTCTGTCTCAAAAAGAGAGAGTAGGGCTATAATTTGCCACGATTCGGTTCAGAACTAAGTTGTTGTTTTTTTTTTTTAATTAACTCGATGCGGATCAGGTTCCTATTTCCTCTATACCTCCCTTCTGCGCCGTCAGCAACGGCCAACTTGCTGAGAGAAGTAACACTGGGTTCCAGCTGCGGTTCTCTCCGCGTCCTGAGACGCCCGCCGCTCACCCAATTGCAACTGGGTGCTCCCTGGCCAGAGCCGCCATCTTCCCTCCCCCCCCCTTGGCCCGACCCCAACCGCCACCCGCGGGCACGGGGTAACGCGGAACCTCACCTCTCCTCGCAGTCTTTGCATTTCACCTGCAGCGGGACTAGTTCCTGAAACAGAACCTGGCTCATGTTGGACCGCTGCCCGTGCCAGTGAGCGGAAAAGTCCAGCAGGCCCAGCCCGCGGAACTAGCCGAAAGGCGTCCGGGTCCTGCTAAAATTTGAGTTTGGCGCTCGGCTTCCGCTGAGGAGGCGGGGATAACAGAAACCGAGGGAAGGTGCAGGAGATTTGGACCTCGTCAGCCACCATCAGTTTTTTCCGGTTTTGCAGGAGACGGCCGGCAGTTCCGGGTATTAGCCTGCGTGGCGGGACTCGCGGTGGCCATATTTGTTAAGGGAAGAGGACCCAAGGGAAGCGGAGAACTTTTCTTCCCTTCGCCTAATGTTTGACATCCCAAACGAACCCTGAATTATGGCGGCTTCTGCGTCGACCCCCCACACGACTGACTTTCCAGCTGAGGGTCGATGCAGTTACTACGTAGAAAAGAAGAAGCGGTTCTGCAGGATGGTGGTGGCAGCGGGGAAAAGGTTCTGTGGGGAACACGCTGGAGCCGCGGAGGTCTGGTATTACCCTACCCTCTCGAGAGTTGGAAATAAGTTTCTTGGTCCGGCCCCTCGCCTCTGACAGATTTCTGCTGTCACCCTGGATATTCTAGATTTTCCTGTACTAAGCGCAGTCCTGCTCTCCCTAGGGAGCGATGATGAGTCTTAGTGAAGTGCAGTGGTTTCTTGTACTAAGTAGAGCAGCGCCAGTAGTAACCCGTTCATTTTGATCCTAACTCTTGGCAATACTAGATCTTAATTTTACTCCAGACCACCGTCTCTTACACTCCGCCCACTCTCCCCTTTCCTGAGGGGTAAAGGTAGTTTAGAAAGAATAGTGGTCAAAGATCCCAAGGTTTCACTAATCGTGTTCTGATTGTTTTGTGAGTGATAATCACTTCTTTGTGAATGCGGTTGAGAAACTTTTGAAAAAAATTTATTTATACATACGAGTCTTTAATTGTTGAAAACAAACTGATGGTTACCAAAGAGGAGATGGGTGAAATAGGTGATGGGGATTAAGGAGTGCACTTCTAATGAGCACCGAGTGATTAAAATAAAAACGTAAGAAATATTTATTTAGAGTACAATCTTTTGAAAGTAACTTATAACTGCTGAAAGGGGTAAGGAAAGATTTAAAATCATGTAAGAATTGGCTCTTTTTCAAATCGGTAACAGGAAGGGTACAATTTTGTTTGATAATACAGTTATACATATAATTGTACTGTCAAACGATATACAGTTGACCCTCGAACACGTATTTAAACTGCCCAGTCCACTTACATATTTAAAGATGAGATAAACATCCCTTGATCAAAAAATGGGATTTCTGATAGAAGAAAGTTTTGTTCTCACTCTGAAACCTTCTACTTCACCTTAATGAGACATCTGGAAGATGAATGCAGTTGGTGACATTAGTAGAATATGACTAGATCCTTACAAGCTGATTGGTATTCCTGGAGAGGAAGGAATGTTGTTACTGGTCCCTTGAAGAAAAATTGCAAGATAAGTGAAAACACTTTGCATGACACGATTTGGTTTTCAATGTGGCATCCTACTGAATCTGTGATTTATGATATAATGGGGTGTATGTTTCCATCTTTTTGTCTTAAGTATCATATGTAGTTGAGACCACTTGTACACATTTTTACCCACTGTTTGTTGTTGTTTTCTTAACCCACTGCTTCTTAACTGAAGGTGATTTTGCCCCCCAGCAGACTCTTGGCAATGTTTGCAACATTTTGGTTGTCACAACTGAGGAGAGTGTTCCTGGCGCCTAATAGATAAAGCCAAAGATGCTGCGAAATATCCTATGATGCAGAGGACAGCCCCTCACAAAACAGAATTACCCAGCCCAAAATGTCAGTAGCGCCAAGGTTGAGAAACCCAGTTTCTAAACCCAAATAATAAAAGTGCTTTTTTCCCCCAACTCTATGGTTAGGCTTTGGGGAGTCAACGTAGAGTCTTCCCTTTTCATGGAGGTTGTATTTTAGAGTCAGCAAATAAGGAAGAATAATGCACAGTTTTTCAAAAAATATTGAAAAGTCTCTTAGCTTTCCCATGAAATTCAGTCATTTCATGGGTATACTGGGAGGCATTCAGAACTGAAATAAACTGAAAAAAGAATTGTTAATAACAGTGAACAGTTAGCATTTACTATATGGCCAACGACATGCCAAGAAGTTTTTTAAATGTACTTTTAATATTAGCTCACTTAATTCTTACAAGCCTTAGGAGGTGAGACATACTCTCATCTTTTAGATGAGGCAATGAGCCTACCTCGGGTCATTGAGTTAGAAGTTGATAGATCAATATTGGCAATCCTATACTGACCTATGGTTTTAACTATTACACTATCCTGTTGCATACAGATTCATAAGAATATTGAATAGAATTGCTAGCACTATTAATTCTCCTTTGGTTTTTTTCTAGCACATGTAGTTAAATTCACGTAACTTAGAAACAAATGGGCTATAGCTCTGCTATACTGAAAACTTGCAAAGTCAGTAGGATTATGGCCACATACCAAATGGTTAAAATACCATATTTTATTGTTTCTAAGATAACTTCTTTTTCTCACATTTTAACATTTCTGAAATCGGAATGCACCTTAAAATCCATCACATGTCATATTTTAAATCGGCAGCAGATTTTTCTTCGGGGTGCCTAAAGTAATAGTACAAATTATAGTCAGTGCTATTATAGATTCAAAATTCCATAAGTAGATCTTCTCTATAACCTATTTGAAGATAAACCCTTGTTGTCCAAAGCAGTATTTGCTCATGTATACATAAACCAGCTATGTTGGAGATTTTTGTTGTCAAACTCTGTGACCTGATTTTGCCAGTGTTTTATTAATGTCCTTTTAAGGTTTCTTTACCTTGTTTTGGGAATGCATAAGCTTATGATTACACTGAAATTATATTTAGTATCTGTAAGCAACGAACGTGATATTTTTTTTATACAAATAAATACATCATTTTTCTTTATTAGGAAGAAAATGCTCGGAAGAGAATTCTGTGTCCTTTAGATCCAAAACAGTAAGTATGGGTCAGATAAGGGTTTTTCTATGCTAGAAAGATTAACTGTCACAAGTCTTATTTTAAATAATTTTCTCTTTAAATTTAGCACAGTATATGAAGATCAACTAGCAAAACATTTGAAAAAGTGTAACTCGAGAGAGAAGCCAAAACCTGTAAGTGTTTGGTCAGTAAAACTGAGTGGTGAAATGTGTGGTATATAATGTTTATGTGTACTTAGTTGATTACAAATGTGAATATTTAACAAGGCTCTGGCCTCAGGAGACTTGAATGTAGTAAATGCATTTGAGTATATATATAGACTATGAATCCACTTGTAGTCCTAATTCAGATAATAGAATTTTATGCAACAGGAGTGTCATTTAGAAAATAATTTCACAATTTATTCAAAATATTTATTTAGTGCTTACTAAATTTATTTCAATAAAATATGGTCCCAGCCTTTAAGGAGTTTGAAAGTAAACTTGTAAATAAGGGATATTATTTAATAAGTTCAATCAAAGAAGTAAATATGTGATAAGAGCACAGACTTGTATAAAACTTAAAATTATAGCCAAGGGGTCAAGAAAAACTTCCCAGAGAGAAAAACACTTGAGCTGGGTCTTGATTTGGCAAAGAAAAGGAAGAGGAGTCCTTCTAGGTGGAAAGAACTGTATGTGCAAAGGCAGAAATTGAGAAACTACATTGAGACTTTCAAGGAACTTGGACTTTATTCTGAAAGATGTGGGGAACTACTGAAAGATTTTAAGCTAGGGAATGGAATGGCCATATTTACCTCTTACAAAACTTTCAGAGCAGTGTGGAAGGATGGCTTGGAATTAGAATGACTAGTTAAAGGCTGTTGCTGAAATCCAAGTGGGACATGATAAGAGACTAAATGAAAGAGAATAGAAAAGGGTAGAGAATAAATGCAAGAATTATTTAGGTAGCAGAATCAATAAAACTCAGTGGCTAAAAACTGAGAGTTGGATATGTGAGTCTGAAAGTCAGTAGAATAGTTAATTTGGAGGTCAAATACATACAGGTTATAGGCCTTGGATTTTTAAGTTACCCAGGGTAAGAGATTAGAAGGGTGAGGGAGGAACTTGTTTATTCCACAGATATTAATTGAACATTTATGCCAGACATTGTACCAAGCACCCTGGCTATAAGAACATTACAGTCTAGTGGGAGAGACAAAAAATACAATATTGTCTATGTTAAAATTGATTAAGTACAGAGTGCTATGAAAGAATAAAGGAGATGAACCTGATCCTTTTTTTGGGAGAAATAGGGGGTGAAAGAGATGGGGAAGGAGTCAGGAGGCTTCTCTGAAGGAGTATCACATATGAGACCTACAGGTCAAAGGAGAACCTGCCAGACAGGGAAAAAAACATATGTAAGGGCCTAGAAGTGAGAGAGCTGATAGCCTTGTCTGGGATTGGGCATTGCATATGACTGGAGTATAGAATATAAGGGGAGAGCTGAGTAGAAGAGGAGACTCAAGAGGTAGCAGGTGATAGAGCATGAGACTAAGGACAGAACTATAGGTGACACTGACATTAAAGGGTGAGCTGTTCCCACCGTTTAATAAAAAAATTAAAGATATTTATTATATCACACAAAAATACATAAAATAGAAGAAACCAGACCTAAAGCTTTGTAATATCTATATCTTATCTACTTTTGGACCTACTGCTTCTCTGCTAAATAGCCGTATATAGTTGGTACTTGGTTGTTTTTTACTCTTACACCATACGCAAAATTGACAACCTTCAGTCTATATGCTATAGACAGGTGAAAACGTTAACAAAAATTACTAATGAGTTTCTTTAGACTATACACATTTATTCAGATAACGACTCACTAGAATATAAGATCCATGAGGACATAGAGATTTTTGTTGTGTTCTCTGCTATGGTGAATCCTTGACACCGAAAGCAAATTAAGGACCGCAGTAGGTGCTCAGTGATTATTTTATTCCTAAATGGGAGAAAGGGAGGATGGCAGGTACAGGGTATGGGAAAAAGAGAAGTATCAGTTTTTCAGCTTAATTTTTGTGAGCTCTTCACATTAATAACAGTATTGTTGTGGTTTTGTTTTTATTAAGGACTTCTTTATTCAAGA